CTGAAGCCACGGTCTCCTAAGAATTTTCTTAAGCACCAACTCCAGAGTTCAGAAAGACCAATTTTACACAGAAGGGCAAGACGGGAAAGCCTGCTCTGAGGCAGGATGCCACGCTGATTAGAAGATACGCAGTGTAGAAAGCTCTCTCTTAGAAGATGGAAGAGAGTAAGAAATTAGTAATTGCTGAAGCTAGCGGTTAAGTTCTTTACCTATGAAATATAGCCTCATGATTTTTTGCAACAAACAACAGGTCTGAAGCACACTTAAAAAACTAGTGGTTCTCCTCATAGTTAAGAACCAAACCAAAACAAACCAACAAAAAACTCAAAAATACCTCCAAATATTTTAAGTGCTGAATACACTTTCCTGCTACTGGAAAAATTTAAGAGCAAAAAGGGAAGTCAATTTTCATCATGATCTGACAGTTAATTTCTAGAGAAGAGGGATCTCTTCCTGGTCTCCCCTTAACCCAGCTGATATTTTGTGGAAATGTGGTCTCCATTACCTTTCCAGAGCATTAAGTTAAAAACTGTTAGGGCAAAGTTTCCCACAGACAGCTGAAAACCTTGAGGAAACCACAGAGGGTAGAGTTGGTTGTTTTACTGCAGTGGTGGTTTCTTTGTATTCATTCTTAGAAGAAGCAGACAGCTGAATACCAAAAGCCCTCTGCTTCATTTTTAGCACTGGGCGTAGTGAAATAATTGAATAGAGCTTTGGTCAAAAGTTTTGACTTTGTACTCAAAACATGTACTACCTAATTTAAAAGAATTCAAAAAACTAAAACCTGATTCCTGCTGATCCCTCTTGGATTATGTAGGGACTACACATAGGCACAACTCAGAGAAAATGACAGAACAAGGAAGCCACACTCTTTAAATAGTCTTGATGATTTTTGAGCTGTCTTGGAAATCCAGAAAGGTCCCAGCTGACTGGAAGCTGGCAAACATTTTCCTGATTTTCAAGAAGGGGAAGAAGGAAGACCCCGGAAACTAGAGGTTTGTCAGCATCACTTCAATGCCTGGTAAAATTATGGAAAAGATTATTCTGGGAGGTATTGAAAAACATTTGGAGGACAACGCAGTCATTGGTCACAGCCAGCATGATTTCATGAGGCAAAAATCCCGCTTGTTGAACCTGACTTCCTTCTATGACAGGGTAACCCACCTAGCTGATCTAGGAAAGCCAGGAGATGTAATCTTTTTGGACTCTAGCAAAGCTTTTGATACTCACTCACAGTATCCTTCTGGACAAAATGCCCAGCACATAACTAAATAACCATGTAAACGTGATGGGTGAGCAACTCGCTCATGGGTCCAGCACAGAGGGTAATAGTGAATGGGGTAACATCAGACTGGCATCTGGTCACTAGTGGGGCTCCACAGGGCTCCATCCTCAGCCCACTTCTTTTCCATATCTTCATTAATGATGTGGACACAGGACTCAAAGGTATACTAGGTTTGCCAACAACACTAAATTAGGAGGAGCTGTCAATTCCCTTGAGGGCAGAGAGAACCGGCAGAGAGACCTTGACAAATTAGAAAGATGGGCAATGACAACTCTATGAAGTTTAGCAAGGGCAAATGCCGGATTATGCACCTGGGATGGGGCAACCCTGGTGTGTGTACAGACTAGGCAATGAGAGGCTGAATGGAAGCACTGAGGAAAGGGAACTGGGGGTCCTGGTCTATGGCAAGTTGACTATCAGTCAGCAGTGCCCTGGCAGCCAGGAGGGCCAGCTGTGTCCTGGGGGGCATCAGGCACAGCATCACCAGTCGGTCCAGGGAGGGGACTGTCCCACTCTGCTCTGCACTGGGGCAGCCTCACCTTGAACATAGTGTGCAGTTTTGGGCACCACAATATAAGAAAGATATTGAGCTATTAGAGTGTGTCCTAAGGAGGGCAATGAGGATGGTGAAGGGTCTGAAGGGGAAGCTGTATGAGGAGTGGCTGAGGTCACGTGGTGTGTTCAGCCTGGAGGAGACTGGGGGGAGACCTCTTCGTGAACTTCAGCATCCTCACGAGGGTAAGTGGAGGGGCAGGCACCGATCTCTTTACTTTTGTGACCAGTGACAGGACCCAAAGAAATGGCATGAAGTTGAGTTGGGGGAGGTTTAGGTTAGATATCACGAAAAAGTTTTTCACCCAAAGGGTGGTTGGGCACTGGAACAGGCTCCCCAGGGAAGTGGTCACAGCACCAAGCCTGTCTGAGTTCAAGAAGCATTTGGACAACCCTCTCAGGCACATGGTGTGATTCTTGGGGTGTCCTGTGCAGGGCCAGGAGTTGGACTTGATGATCCTGATGGGTCCCTTCCAACTCAGCATATTGTATGATTCTATAAGATGCCTAATTAGAGTCTTGGTATCTTTCTTTATACAAGTGTGATGTTGGCCTTTTCTTCAAGTATCATATGCTTTTCTTAAAGCTCACAATGCTAGGCTCTTTAGAAAAGATCAAGTATTCAGTGTGGAGAGAGGCTCCTGTCACAGAGCAATGCAGGGCAGCAGGTCTGCCATACATTCATTTTACTGACAACATGGTTTTTAGCATAGCAAAAGCCAGTATTACTTCTGTGAGTATGGCAACACTGACTTCTGTATTTACAAAGACTTACTAATTCTAAGTACCTCATTACCACAGTCCTTAACCAAATCACTAGCTAAAAGGACTTCTTTATTATTCTTAATAGCAGCAATGCTAAGGAGCACATTTTTATCAATATCGGCAAAATGGGAAAAAGGGAAAACCTTACTTTCTTAATTTTCAGTCACTTCTAAATAATTTCAAAAGTCAAGATTTGTAATTGGTCCAATGTGTAATAGTAGCTCCATCACAAATTCTAGCTTCCCTACACTTTCTTCATTTCACATCCACTTTCATGAAGTTTCTGCCCATACTGGCAGCCTAGGTAGGATTCTAATGATATCTGCTTTTTGAACTGCTAGCTGTATTCAATTTAAAAGCAAATATTCTGGTTTTGTGTGATTTTGATTTAAGAAAACCCCTAAAACCCAAAACAGAAAATCCCACCAAAACCTTAATAAGCCAGGATGATGGACATGATTTTCAAATGCTTATGTAAAGCACTGCTGAAATTAGCTGGGCTCTGTCAGTCTGTGGCAGCAAATTTCTTGTGGTCCACTGGCAGGAGCTGACAGGGAAACCATGGCACACACTGGGAGCTGGTCAAGGAACACAACACCTTGTTTCAAAGGTTGGTTTCTGGGGCTGCTCAGACAACCAGTCACACACATCTGTGGTGAAGATGTCTGTAACATTTGGATTAAAATATTTATTTACTTTAATAAATATTTATTTAATGCAAATATTTAAGTATTTGCATTAAAAAGCCTCAACCCAAATTAAGGGACAAACTCACTGCATTGGAAGCTGGTGTTCAGCTGCTCTTCTCTTCTGCTACCACGGTAACAATAACGCTCACTACCCCTGCCCTCCTACACCATGGCAGGGAGCGGGCACAGGGAGTGGGAGAGGAAGAACCAGCAGTGCCTGCCTGGGTGCTGTGCTGACAACACACAACAGCTCTGCTGCACATGCAGGTCTCTCCTAAGGTACAGGAGCAAAGGCCAAATTCTGCTCTGTTACTTTTATGAGGTGAAGAGAAGAGGAAGTGCACAGGTAGAAGAGAAACAGTCAGAAACATTCATCACAGACAGAGTTATGACCCAAAGAGAAACAGTACCTCTGCATCTAAATGCAAAACAAGCATAACAAAAAAAATAAAAATCACACAATCTTCCCCCAAAACAATCACAACACCCTTCCCACCTGAAAAGATACAATGAACAGAAATGATGTCCGAAAAAAACCAAAATGGAAGAAATCTTTGTTAACAGACACAGTCCCTGAATTTTTAAGATGTGGTCTTGCTGTAGTCATACCACCTCATCTGATTCCAAACCATGTACTTCATAGAGAGTGTCCAAGATATTTAGCTGCTTTTCCATGGCTGGTAAGTAAATGTTGAGGTCCCTCTGCATTCCTTTGTAAAATGTTTCTTCCTGAGGATCACACTCCTCTACAGACAGAGCTGCCACAAAATCTTCATACGTTGGAGCTGCCCTTAAAGCCAACTGGGAGAGGAACCAAAGCTTTTATATTTGCAAAATAGAACAGGAAAAGAAACACAACTAAAGCCACAAAAAACTTCTAAGACCTCCCTCCTTGCACTCAGACTGCATAGCTTTAATTTAATTATGTGTACGTGCATATGTTAAGAATTTTAACTATGAGGGAAGCTATTTCATTTTTATTTGTTATTATTTTTGTGTAGATCCCCAGTTTAAGACATCTTCAGAGAGGCCTGATTTTTATGAAGTGTCTGTGTATCATATTTTGTACAAATAAATAGCATACATTAAAAATTTATTAAGTGCAAACCCTAAATAAAGTACAGTTTGTTAAGGAAGGTCCCAATCCAGCATCACACACTTCAGCACTGAGTTCTCAAAATGGTTTTTAGAAAGTTTTCCCCAGCATTTCTTTTTCTCCCAGTCAAAGTCACTATTGCCTGGACGAGGTTTTCCTTTTTCCTTTTGTAATTTCAGTGATAATTTTCCCAGGGACAAACACAAGGGGGAGCTGCCAGACTGGATGAAAAATTTTCTCTAGCCAATATATTCTACTTCAACTCTCCACACATTCTGCACTAACCCTTCTTGAATGCTCATATTCAAAGACAGATCAATCTTAAAAAAAGAAACTTCAAATCTTCATTTCTTTCTTTAATAGCCCTGCAAGACTGTGCTTAAAAACACATAATAAAAAAGTGTGCATGCAAGTGCGATCTGCCTGTTTCATCTCCAGAAAGCAGGTTCCATCCTTAAAGCCTAAGACCAAACAGTGATAACCACAATCCTCACCTTGAAAATAAGGTTCTGGCAAAGGAATCTAATAATTTTAATACAGTTTATTAATTACACAACATATGATCACATGAATAAGACCCCCAGCTCTATCAGCGACCAGGGTAAATACTTACCGCAAAGACCCCCCGGACAACCCAACCATGGTGCTGCCGTAATGTCTTTCCATAAGCATTGTCTTAAAGAAAAAAAATTATAAATCAAGACATAGATGTATGGCAGTTTTAAGTCTTCATCACAAAGAGATCTCAGAGATTAGAAATGAATATTTAAGGGAATGAAAAAGTGGGAAAAAACCAGCAGCATGGCTCTGCTGCAGGCACTGAGCCATTCAAGGAGTAATTCAGTGCCGAAGCCTTCAGACTCAGAAGGTCAAATAAATGCCTTGACTTTCCATAGTGTTTAACACCCACATATGGTAGCAGTGTATTTACAATCCCACTTCCTAGAGCTGCTACATACTTCAGTGCAGTAGTTCATTTTATTAATCCTATAGGGTGACTGCTTAGCTGTTTAAAAGAAGGTAAAATAAAAAGCTCTAAAAAAAGCTGTTTCAAAGCTGTTTTAAAGGATTATTATAACATTAGGTTTCATGCATACAGAGAGGGCCTTACTCAGGAATAACCAAATCAAGTCTAAGAGGGGTTTATATTTTGTTTTATACTTGCTGTGCCTTTGCACTAGCCTGCCTTGGTAAGTGTCAGAAGTTCTGCACTTGAAAAAAATCCTTCTTCTCTGTTACAAACTCCCTTCTAATGGATGCAGGTAATTCACAGCCATACTGGCAAAGAGGTGATTTCAAAGAGTGATGGTCAATCTCACATGGAACTAACAAACTAACAAAACAGTAATTACAAATTTGGGAGCACTCTTGCTGCAAACTAGTAGAGAAAGTGGAATGAGACAAAGCTCTTGGTTCCCTAAGACATGACTGTCTCCTCTGTCAAAAGTATGCCAGTTACAGGAATCTTTATCTGCTAATAAATCAACATTGACCACTTATCTAGTAACCCATCCCAAGGCAACCATTTAAAAAACCTGTGCTTTCAAAAATGTTAGGTCTTAGAGACTACTTGCATCACTTGTCACTGACGAAAAGAAAATACAGGTTCTAAATGAGGAGGAAAGTAGCCAAGTATGTAAATTCAGAAGTACATGAAGAATAAAGCAACTGGCACTTACTCAGAGCTGTTTGGATATTCTTTTCCCCATTCTTCACTTCTGTCAAAAACCCTTTCAAGAACTTTAGGCCTCTGTCAGGATGAACCCATGAAATAAAAAGAAACCACGTTTATAACAAAGTAACCCAAAGTCTAACAAAGCCCCCAAAGTTGCAATACAACTCAGAAGAGCAATAAAACTCAGAATTAAGGAGTCATTTTCATTCTGAACAAAAAAATGCAGCCACCTCCTCCAGCTTCTTTCCCAGCCCAAGGGAAAAAAACTTTGCTAAACATTTCTGCTGCATCTTGAAATCATCTGCCTGATGCTCAGGCCCAGAAGGATTAGTCATTCACTGTAACTTCACTTGCATGGGGAAAAAACCCCAGTGTTCTGGAATTGCTTTTTCAGGCCTTTTGGCAAAGTTGCAGTGATACAACCACAGACAACACATTAATCTTGAACCTGGCCAGTTTGGATTGATGAAGCCTGTGGAAAGTAATCAGTTTGCTCCATGTACACAAGCTTGCAGTGATGAAAGACCTCTCATTGCATCCTAGCAGTTCATAATGTATGCAGATATGAGGTCATTACCTTTTCAGCCACAGGAGAGCCTCTGTAGCAGAGTTTCTAACTTGTGCTACACCTGCATTCACTTCATGGAGCACGATCTTCTGAAGGGTATCAAACTCTTCTTTGTTGGTAATAAATTTCTGGTTTATTTTCTGGAGAAAATACAACGGATAAAGCTTCAGGCTTTTAAGACCAAACAGGGACCTGTCCTATAAATACCACCCATTAACCAGGACTCCTTCCTGCTAAGAGATACTACAGATTCACAAGCATGTCACATACTCCCCATGGCATGGCTGCGCTGCCAAGGTGGGCACGCCAGGCCAGGGCACCACTCCAGACACATCTGGTCAGCCATCTGGCTAACACAAGCAAAATAAAGCACCTCGGTCAAAAATTTACATGGCACCCACCATTTCTGTCCAACAAAATCCTTCAGGTTCACATGACATCCTCCACACTGGTGGAAAGGAGTTAACTCAATATGCTCTCCAAGCAAAGTCCCATTTGTCCTGAACTTCAACTACCAGCAAGATTACCTTCTGACAACTGCTAAGCTGCAAATTTTCAATTACACTTAGCAGTCAATGGCATGCTCATGTTTTCAATTTATTTCTAAGTTTTTATACACAATTCCTCACAAAAACAAAAGAAACATTATATAAGGGGCAGATAAACAGACTTGTCTTCTACATTAAAGGAGCAGCTGTCTATCAGTTCACAATAAATATTCAATGTTTAGTTTTTAAATATGATTCTTCTCTCTTCTATTTTCAGTCTTTCAGTGGCTACCTTCTCGAAGATAACCAAATACCTTTCTTACTTGATGCTAAACAAATCTGATTATATATAATGTTCCTGATCACACACTCAGAAGATATCTTTTTCTTTTTCTTTTTTTTTTTTACTTGAAAGAAAAGCTATGAAAAGTCTCACTATGAATGCATTTTGTCTCATAACCAGTATTTCAAACCTTTGCAGAAGGTTCTTGAAGCTGGAAGAACTTCCAGAACAAGAACCAAGACTGCAGGGTCTGCCCCAATCTGATGAGAAACTGCTTCTTAATGCATTAACTTCCTCCTGCTTGGCTTAGCGAAGGGGTTTTTTTTCCCCTCCATTTGTTTTACAGCTTAAAGTCAGTATTGCTAACATCACAAACCTGTTCAGCTCAGAATCAAAGTCATATTCATTAGGTGTAACAGATGTTTTACTTGGCAGTCAATCAAGTATTTTTATAAGTTTGGACACAACTGGATTTATTAAATACAGCATGTACTGTAAGAACAGAATTAGGGGCATTTCAGTGCTCTGATCTGACAGATGGTAACATTATCAAATATTAAATAGCCTACCACTATTGACTCCTACCACATATTTTTGAGCTTTAGTGCCTAAAATAGATATTTTGCTTAAAAACCAAAAACCAGTGCTAGAAACAAGCTGTTACCTTGATGTTGCCTACAAAATCCATTTTAACAGGAGCAAAAACAGTTGGTCCCAGCTTGTCTAGGGAAAAAAAAAGGCCATATTTTAAAATTGTGTCTTTTTCCAGTCCTCATGTTTTAGGAAACAATTAATTTAATTTACTGTCTTAACAATGCTTTAAATGGCGGGAGAATAGTAAATGAATGATGCAAACGCAATTTTTCTTTGGTGTACAACCAGTCCACCTCAGTCAGTACCAGCATTAAAACACTCTGACCTACAATCTGGAAGTCTTCAAAAGGGTGCATGCTCACAGGGACCTCACATCCACTGTTAGATGCAGGCAGGGGTCTGCACTAGCTGGTGACAGAAGTTGTTGGAAAAATCAAACAGATTACAGCTGATGGTGTGCTGGCAGCTGTACTGGATGTGTGAGGTATCTATGCTGCTCTTTTGAGGGGAAGAAATTGCTGTTCCAGACAGACCACGGGTTTCCAAGCTGTTTATACATGGGTCCCACCTGAATGAGAGTGGATTCTCTTTAAAGCCAAGGAGTAAGAAACATGTTCTGGTACCAATCAAATTGACTCTGCTGATACTGTTTCTACTATATCACTTTAGTGAAGAAACAAATTTTCTAAACTAACAGCTCCACCTTTTCTCGCAGCTGGCAGCAGTCAAAAGGAGAAGAGAAGCTGCTTACCCAGAACAGGCACAATTGCATAACATGATTCCAGAAACTCCTCTGTGGGTATGCCCTCCTCCTCCCGAAGTTCAATATCACTGAATCTGGTGCCAAGGACAAGCAGAAAAGATTGTCACCTTCACAATTCCTTTTGTATAACTTCTAATGCCAAAATTACATTTCCTGTCCATGTCATTTGCATAGAGGTAAAATTTACAGACATGAAACCACCAACACAGCTTTTGTTTCACTATGTTAAAGTAACTGACCGCAGAAAATACACATTTTGTGGTGTGCATGCAAGACCTGCAATTAGAAACAAGGAAAAACCTCCCACTTCATCCTGTACAGTTAATTTTACAAAAGGTATCATCTTCTAATTACTGTGCTGTAAGCAGTCTTGTTAAATAATCTCAGTAAATACATCTTTACAGACAGAAAAGTCTTAAAAATAAGTAAATTAAAGACTTAAAGTTTCAATAATCCTTTTAATCGAAATCTGTTCTACCTATTGCTCATGACACTGAAGAAGGTTGGAGAATCATTTTCATTTCTGTCTTCCTCACACGGAGTCAATCTACTTAAAGAATTTGTTTCCGACTGCAACAACTTGTGGGCAGCATAGCTTTCTACAGCTTGCAGCTTGTCCTCTCCATCTTCTTTAATGCCTAACATTTACAGGAAACAGAAGAAAAACAGACAAAAAACCCAGTTACATACCCATATTGTTATTCCTGTTCTTCAAGATGCCCTCCTATTTGAAGGAAGGCACTTGAATATCTGCATCATTCAGTTCAAAAGCTTCCCTGCCAGCACCATGACTCTCACTACAGGTCTATTGGGTGCTCAGTCAACATTTCAAACATTTCCCTCCTCATTTCTTTTAATCAGACAGACCAAGCACCAGGCACCAATGCAAGTGAGCCCACATATCCTCAGCAAGGACAGCCTTATGAGAGAAGAGCTTTGAAGAAGCGATTGGGTGCAGCAGGGAGCAGACTCCTCTCCTTGAAAGGAAGATTACTTCTCATGTGGCTGTAACTTTCCCAGTATTGTTAAAGTGTACAGTGCATTTTCAAAAGCAAAAAAAATAACAGTGACTTGCTTGCTCCTTCTGATAAGTTAGCAAACTGGCTGCTTAGACAGACACTGGTATGATATCAAAGACTGCTATGTTCTCCCCCATTTCCACGAATATCTTTAAAGTTTCCCAGAAAAAGATCCATGTGCCTCTTCCCTGCTGTGATCTATTTTATTTCTTCTTTGGGGTCAAGTACATCTGTTTCAAATACATACAGCACTACACAAGCACTTCTGAAGGAAGACAAAATCTTCCTTATACATCCCATAGGTGGTAAGACCTTCTGACCTCATGGAGAACTTCTAGAACAATTCAAGAAGCAAAAACAATACATTCACAGCATCTGCAGCATACAAGCTATGGCTACAGCACATCTTGCTGGAAGACTGTCAACTAGGATCCAAGATTTCACAGGGAATGTGTCTCTCCAGGAAAGAAATATTTTCAAATGTCAGTGAGGTTTAGAGAGAAACCTGAAGCAGAATTGAGCTTCTGGTTGAAGGGATCAAGCTGCAAGGAACTCTCTTCCTTCAAGTGACATCTGAAAGCACACTTGCAGAACCACTGAATAAGCCTGGTGCTGCATGAAAAAAGAACCACTCACACCAGTAGCAGCAATGAAACTTGAGCCATTCTCCTCAGGGCAGAATAAAAGTGGCCTCAGATGTCACTGACATTAACAATCCAAGTGTCTCTCCTAAGGAACTAGAATCTGAATGATGACACTGATGTGTCCTTCACCAAGACACACAGGCTGGTGAGTAGAGAAACAGCCCAAGTCCACAGTGAGTCCACAGGAGTGCTATGCAAAAAGCCTGGCATCCTCCAAAATTTCAAACTCAAACACTGTAAGCCCTAAATGACATACAGAAACTCATTACAGGACTTAAGTGCTTGAGTATTTTTAAAGACTGACTGCTCTTAATAAAAGGGAGAGAGAGGGAAAAGCATCTGAGACAGAGCAGAGTTGGTGAGCCCAGGAGCACCAAGATACAGACACTGTGGAGAAAAAGCCCTTGGGCTCGCTGGGTAAGCTCACCCCATACAGATGGCACTGCACACCCTAACTCCACCCTGTATTGCCAGCAAACCCCTGCAACTCACATGTGTGTACGCAAGAGGAGGTAGTTTTTTCTCTTTTCTGCACAGGAATCACAGTAGCTAAAATGACACCAACAATCTGACTTGAATTAGTTTGATCTCCTTGCTTTAGTGCTGTTTTCTTGAGGTATTATGCTAAATGGTAACACACGTATGTTATTCTGCAAGGACCTGCCACACTACATGATACCAGCCATGGAAATGGAAAAAGCTCCAAAGAGAACTCATGTAAGAGCAAAATCAGTATGATCATTAACTTGGGCTTAAAAACTTCAGCTGATTCACTGACTGCATATATATGTTTTGGAATAACAGCCAGGCAGAGAAAGCTACTGCTCAAGAATGGTACAGTCCATTCAACAGGTTGAGCAGAAATCATATTACTTAAATAGACTTTTCCAGATTACTGATTTAGTTCAACAGTATTTTACTGAAGTCATGCACAAATTCAAGTTTCATGCTATTGCTAAGGTAATGGAAAAAATAAGATGCTTCCTAGTACATTTTCAGTTGCAGAAAAAGGGTTAATTTCCTGTAAAGATTTGTCAGAGCAATCGAGAGTGACTACAAGTTCAAGCCCTCCCAGACAGGCACACAAAGTTTCAATGTCCTCCTTCTGACACTACAGCTCTACATACTAGCAGAGGTGCCAGGATTCCCAGAGGAGAGCCTCTGGGTATAATGTGTCTGTCCACAATGCAAGAAGAGCCCAATCTCTGCCAGGCTGTATTGTTTCATAGGTCAATCAGCATCTGGAGGGCCTCAGCCTGTCCAAAAAAGAATTTTTAATTTCCTTCCCCATTCAGTCTCAAGTAAACCATCAAAAAGGGCAGCAGGAGTTATGCTCAGAAGACTCACAGAGGGCAGATACCAGATTGAAACAGACTGATATTCCCTCTCTGGGGAAGCAAGGGATTGGTATTCTCACAGGCAGCCTACACGTCCCTTCATTCACACTTACAGAGTAATGATCCTGGATAAGAGACAGTGCATATAATTACCTGCCAAATCCTCTGCTATGTGATCTTCAACAGAAACATCACTGCTCCCCTCACTTGTTTCCAAGTTTAAACACTCCAGACTTTTAATAAGCGTTTGCTCTTGATGGTTAATTTCTGCTTTCACACAGCCATTTTCACAGGGGTTCAATTCCATCTGCCTGAAGAAAGGGAAAGAATAACAGTTAGTGTATAAAGCATTGCTTGGTAAGCTTCTTCCTGTAAATACAAGCAAATAACAGTAAGAGAAAAATAGCTGACAGAAATTATAGGCTGTCACAGGCTGCTGTGAGCAAAAGGACTTGTCTAAAATAATAAAAAGAACCACACAGCTCTTTGCAGCAACTCAGTCTCAGCTTGCAGAGTTCAAATATATTTACAGTGATCTTTATTAAAAAGATACATAATCAAAAAAATACAATTACAAAAATGAAAATCACAGGCAGGTACTGTAACTAATAGAATATCTCCTCATTAGTAATTAAAGATATATATCCTTGCCATCTACTCCACAAATCATAGTCTGCTCACCATCAAGGATTTTATGAACTTATGAAGTGGAACCTAAAATGCAGGAATGAGCACTGAAGCGGGAGAGAGCTGGACAGGGATTGACCTGTGAGTCAACCAAGTGGATTGCTGAGAAAAATAAAAGGGAAAGGGCTGATATGGAAGAGACATGAAGTGGGTGAGCCAAATCCCTTTTGTTGCATCTGCTTCCAAGTATGCATTTCAGAATGATACAGTTCTGCCTGCGTCCAGTACTAGTAACAGCAGAGCAAAAAAAGGAAAGGACACTACCAAAAACAGATTAGAAAGAGACTGACAGTAAAGACTTTTATTATACCTTTCTGTTGAGGTGTGACTGGACAAGACAGAGTGCTTTACCTGAAAGATATGGAGGAGGAAGAATATTCTTTACAGAAAGAAGACTGTATCATGCATCTCAAACTTCACATTTTATCAAACACAAGCTGGAGTCAGAAAAAAACCCCTCACTAATTCTCTGACCTGGAGACTGTATACAGACAAGAGTGAAAAAGGTGCTATATTATTATACCATTGCAATATTGCAAAGAAAAAAAGAAAAAGGAAAAGAAAGAAAATCAAAAGATTTCTTTCAGAACCTAGCTAGGAAGTGTCAAGTGAGACACCATTCAGCACATGGAAAGGAAACAAAGCAGTGAGTTTCCTTTGCAATGTTTTCCTTACTTAAAAAAAAAAAATTATGAGAAACCAGAAAAACATGAGGCCAAGACACCAGATATGGTAATCATTTCTCAGATGCAGTCAAGCATCTACCTTCCTACATACACCTTAACCTCCAGTTTGCCAGAGATGCTCCAGTTTTGTGCCTGTACTTATGGATCCAGGATTCAAGGAAGTGCCCTTGTCATTAAAGAGATAAGCTCATCAGCTCCCACTGGCGTATTACCACAGATCTGATGCTGCCGTAGCTTAGCAGAGTTATAATTGCTGTGAGCTTCCACAATGCATGAACTTGCCATAAGCCAAGGTACTTTGAAACATCACTGCCTGCACCTGGAACTGCGGGCCCTGAAAGTTAATGTTTAATAACTTTCACGTACGTTAAAGGTTAAGAGATCAGTCACTGCTTATTAAAAATGGCCCTACGTTGCTTGAAAACCATAAGAAATGGCAGAGTATGTCCAGTGTAAGACTACTAGCTATCACATTCCCTAACACAGTCCCTACTTCTAGAAATGCTACTTTAGAAAAGGATGCCTTAGCATCCCTGTCAAGGCTGAGGGAAGAAGATACTGGCCGTTACCTTGCTTGTTCTGAGAACTGCTAAATTTGGGGATCCAGGTGGGGTCTGATGCAGTAACTCAGAAGTGAAGGCAGTATTTGCAATCTGCATACATTCTTCAAGAGTCTTCAGGAAGGTGTCACAGGTTGATTTTAACAGAGCTCCCATATCAATCTCATTCTGTGGGAAGAAATCAATTGGAAGAAATGGACTTACCACATAAGATCAGTTTGGAGCAACTAATGTCTACAAAGCCCACAGCTGCCACAGTCACGATTTCTAGTTAACATGAATTAAAATTCAATATGTCAGCTGCTTAGAGAACTGGCATCACATATTACTGGGGCTATGTCCCCTCGCAGCACTACCACTTGTCAGCCTCTCGTACAACAAGCTCAGTATGTTTGTGTTTTAAAAGCAATGCCTATTAGTTACTTATCTTGTTGGTGTTAGAAGTGTACGAAATACTAAGCCTGTATGCATTCAAAAACAGCATTCCAAAAAACACCACTGACAGGAGAAATGAAAACTAAACAAATTAAATAGATACAGGATGATCTGCAGATAATAATTTCAAAAATCCCAAGAACAAAAATTTATGGCAATTGAAAAAAGGGTAGAATGAAATATCACATCACCACAATACTCTTCATCTCTGTGAAGTGCAGTTATTGATGCTGAAAGGCTTTTAGCAATAAATCTTTCCAGTTAAATGTCAGTAGGAAAGACGGTTTTCCCCCAGATGCATGAAATACAAGCTGGATAAACACTACATTACAGGTCAACACCTGTGAGCTGCAAGTTCTAACAGTGCCTCTTAGTCATTTGTAAACTACATCATGCTTCTGTACTGTCTTTTAATTCACCAGAAACAGTTTATCAAGTATCTTTGCAGAGATTGTTTGGACATACAAATGATTAACTTTCAGGTGTTTTCCTTGCCTGTTCTGCACCCGAGGACCCATCTGTCCAGTGAGAGGCATCCTGGAACTCCACACCAACTTCTCTAGCAAGTGAAGTGCATTCCTCTTCACACATTTCTCTCTCAAAGCAAGGGGCAGATTGCTGTCACTAGAAGATCCTTCTTAAATGAGGTTTCTTTGGTCAGGAAGATTTGAAAGGTTTGAAACTTTAACTTAAGTGAGGGTAACTAGGTAGTTCTTTACACCAATTTTGTTTCTTTTGAGGTCTGCATCATCTCTTGACCTTCTAATAGTTTTGGTTGTGTTTTGCTGAGCAGGATATTAGACTCAGGGACAGAAAAATGTGCGCTTCTTGCAAGTTATCTTTTTATAAAAGATCTTTTTTTTTGATCCATTATACACATGATCACCTACTGAGATGTTATTGTCTACATAATAGATACCAGATCTCATCTCACTACTCGCTAGCCCAACTCTAGGCAAGTTATTTGCAACAATGGAGTATTACTCTATTTAAACAAGAACTGTTGTGTGAGCACATTATTTCCCACAGGATCTCTGCAGAAAGAGGTTGCAGCATTAAGTAACTGTGAGTGAATACTACACTGGCTAACCAGAAAAGTTCACAATGCTCAAGACTTTACAGATGTGGTCTGCACCAAAAAAAGAGCTGTACCTCTGGTTCTGACACACCAGAAATGCTAGCTTCCTTCGTTTTATGCACTTGCTGAACAAGGAGGTTACAGTACAGTCTAAGTTCAGACATTTTAGTCTTCAAGGCTTCTGTGTTTTCAGTGAACTCTAAAAGTGAAACAAAAGAAGAGTTAAATTTACTGTATTTGATGCCAAGCAAGTACACAACATTTGACTGTAGTGGGTCTTTTAAACAGCATAAACTCCCTACATATAACTTTTGTTTTCACAAAGTAGTTTAAGGTCCAAGCAATAGCACTGTTTAGATAGGGTTGTAGGTAGAAAACATTGGATGTAAAAGATGCATCCTGTCCAACACAAAAGGATTACTTTAATATAGATATATACACGCACACTTGAATCATAGAATGGATGAAGCTGGAAGAGACCTCTGGAGACCAGCTAGTCCTTCTCCCCTGTTCGAAGCAGTCAGCCAGAGCAAGTTACTCAGGGCCATGCCTAGTCAGGTTTAGAACACTGCCAAGGATGGAGATTCCACAACCTCTCTGTGTAACCATTCAGTGCTCCCTCATCCTCATAATATAAGCATTTTTGCTTATGTCTCAATGGAGTCGCTTGTATTAAAATCTATGCTCTTGTTCATTCACTGAGAAGAGACTGGCTCCATCTTTTTCATCCTCTCCCATCCAGATATGCCTTTAATCATCTTAGTGGCCCTTTGCTGGACTCACTCCAGTATACCCATATGTTTCCTGCACTGGAGAACGCAGAACTGAGCAGACTAATCCAGATAAGACTAATGGTCAATCTGAGATTTTTCAGAAGGTTTTTTTTTTTGACATCAGAGTCCCAGAACTACAAAATAAATTGTCTGTTAATAAGATTAACGTGGTTTAGCTATGCAAATACATCAGTAGCTTTATACCATGTGCTACTGTATGTCAGCTTATGGATACAACTTTTTAATGCTTCTAGGCACTGTGCATCAGATCCCCACTTTGTGTAGGACCCTACAGTAGCATCTTTTACTCAGTTCTGATTCAGTTTGAACCAGCAGATGCAAAGCCTGGTGAAGACGCACATAAGGCCAAGAGGAGAAGCAGTTCCTCACCTCAAGGGAATGAAGTGCTCACCACCCCCTGCATTTGCCCAGGACATTAACAATAATTTGCTGTTTTCCCATCTTCTGCATAGTCATTGTGCTGAGGTTACACAAGGTTAAGGTATGAGGTCTCACACCCACCATAACGCCATGCTTGTAAGCAACAGGGGTTTTCACTGGGGTGAAAGTGAGATTGTTGGTGAAAGCAAAGAGATAGGTGAATTAATTTTCACAGTCTCACCATGGTCAGATTTAAGTTTCTGAATACAAGTACGCACATTTGGAACCAAGTGCAAACTTTTTCCTAATTGCCAAGGGGTTCTTGAAGTGCATAAGACAGCCCAGTTAGAATGTGGAAGGAAAGGGTCTGAGGAACTTCAAAGCTCAAGAGACACTGGTATGAGAGGCTGGGTCATTATATTCAGACAGCTGAAGAAGGTGGGGGTTTTACATTCTTGTACACTTTGCATCCAGTGATCCACAGTCAGAAGCTACTTACTCATTGTACTTACAGAATCCACCAGCACACAGTTTTCACATGATTTATACATAGTACATTTTAAGAAAAAGCCAAAGTTTGCAAATTCCTGTCCTGGGAGTTAACACCTGAGATTTTTAGCTAATGTTCCCATTAGTACATTTCTGTGTACATACACTAGGGCAAGGATGAGGAAATATAAAGCAAACAGCATGTGCCAGCAAAAGGGTGTTCTTGCCTTTTTCCTTCTGTGTCCTGCTGTCAGTCAGACAGGCTTTGGCAGTTCCTAGTGCAACCAGCCACTTTTGCCTTTCAACTGCATTTCTTGCCTTCAGATAGAAGTATTGTTCCCCTGGGATAATCAGGTCCATTCGTGTGTTATCTGCAGGATGAACTGAAAGCAACATAGATTTCAGACCCTTGGCCCTTCCCAGCCCAATGAAATATCTCAACAGATATGTTAGGTGGCAGGTCAAACAGTAGTGAGAGGAACCTACAGCTCCAACTTCTCCTGCTACCATTGTATGACTTCTCTTCAGAGTAAGGGAATGGACAGGACACACGTGTACAGCTGTGTGACAAAAGGCTATGAAAGGTAGTTTTGTGATCAGTATCATCTGGAAGTTTTTATGGAAAGGGCATCCTCTTCTGTCAAGCCTCTCTTTCAGGCTTCCAGCCTGTAACTGAACCTCAAAGATGTGGGAAATAATCCAATATGAATGAGCAGACCTAGTACTGAAGTTTATTATTCACATTTCTAGCTTCAGCTTTGTGCTTATGAGGAGTTATTTGAAGCTGTGCGATGTTCCACCGCAGCTCAAGAAAAACAGTGACCCACCTGCATGTAGAATATCCATGATATTTGGGGCTTGCAGCTCTCTCAACATTTTCAAAATACTATGGAATAAAAACTGGCATATAGGTCAAGTTACTGAGTTCCCACAAATATATACCGGAGAAATCAAGCTGCCCAATAGCTCTTGTCACCTGAAATCTCATCTTGAATGCAACATTATTAGACAAATTTCATGCAGCTGAGTGTTACTGTATATTAGTTACCTTGAATTTCACAAACGGCCATTTGGATGCTTCCCTTACAACCCTTCCAGGCATCTTCCTGAGAGTCATAATAGGACAGGATGCCACCACAGAGGAGAAACCATCGAGGCTGCCAGCCTGAAAAACAAAACTACATTTCTCAGTTCTTTCCCTGCAACTCCACCACCTCTCTCACTCAGGATACACTGCAAATAAGGCCCAAAAGATTCTCAGTCCCCCTGGAAAATTAACCCCTTTGTGGTAGCAAGACTTGTGGACAGGCCTGGATCTTGTACCCCTGCTTCCTGGCACCTGCATGTCCCTTCTGCAGGCAGCTGGACCATGGCTGTATGTGTCTGAGATGCCATATGTCATTTTCAGTAGTTTTGGTAACATGGCATTACTGACTCATTCTCTCTTCCAAGTTCACCCCTCAATTCCTTCTATCACTCCTCAACCCACCTCTTCACTTTTCACAAAAGCCACCCCAGCTGTCTTGCCTCCCAAGTCATCTTCCCTTGCAGAAAGGGCTAGCCAAGTTATCTTGAAAAAATAACGGGTAAGAAACTCCTAAAAATCAACAGAAGGAGGGAACAGAGGCGGATGTGTTGATTTCTGAACACCATCTTTCAATGAAGCAGTTTTCAACAGCTCTTGAAACTCTCATGCTCCCCACATAAAAAGTAGTCTTGAATTACTGACTTGGACTTCTGGATACCTTTCCAGAGAAAAACCAAAACACAAGGATAGACCCACATCACTAGTTGTGGGTACACTTTTGCCCACCCCGCTGCCCAGCTTCAGAAGTAAATTACCCTTTTGGTTCTCTATTTTTGGAAGTACTACAGCAGTACAAAAAGTTAAAAAACAAACCAGATATGACAGATGCCATTTATGTCTAATTAAAACTACGAGCTCATTAACTTTAGAAGAAATGAGGCAGCAATGTCACTGGAGGAAAGCAGCTTTCATTACTGGGGTGCAACAAGCTTCCCTGGTCTGGACCAACGGAGCGAGATTCTGAAGCTCCCACACTGTGCCAGCAAACCATCTCTGGGAAAAACATTTGGACAAGACCTTGTGGGTCATGTGGCTCCTAGGTGTTTTTGCAGAGGGGCATCATCTCTGCTGTCCCCTGCACCAGGGCTCTGCCAACCAGCACAGCACCGCAGGAGTCCAGGCTGGGCTTGGACTGATACCACACTGGAGGAATGACAGCTCCCTACCAGCTAGAGACTGATTCCTTTGGGCTGTTGCTGAAACCAACCACAACTCAGCTTAAGGTCAGAAAGCCCTAAAGCCTCAGGGTCAGAAAACCCTAAAGCCCTCAGCTCAGTAAGAGTAGGGTTTGGGTTTGTTTTTTTTTTTTTTAAGCAAGCAATACCACTGCATCCAGGCCGAGCTGGCCTGTAGATTGCTGAACCTTATGGAGTGGTTGGAAAATAAGTTAAACGTAAGTATTTTTTTCACACCCTTCCAGAGCTCTTCCATTATTTCCTAGAAGAATATAAAGACATTAAAAAGCCAGTGTATTCTCAATGCTCTTTTACTTTATATGAAGAGGAAAAAAAATCACAAGAATGCGAATTAAAAAAAAGGACTGATTTTTATTTGTCTTGCCTCCAAAATAAAGAAACCATCCTAAAAGTCACCATTGATATGTAGGAACTCACAAAAAAAGGAAGTGATTGTTCAGCAGAGAGAAGCAGTTAATTGCTTCAGACACTCAATGGCACAGAACCAATTCTTTAAATAATGCACAGCGCCACAGTCAATACAAGCCTCTAATTCAGTCTGAAGATCCTGCTGCTGCGCATGAATCATTTCAGCCATGGTCCTACAGTTTACAATTGCAGCTGATGCTCAAACAAATTGCATCCCATCAATCAAAGGCTGTGCAATCAATTAGCCAACATACAAAGCACTCTGCCTCCATCGCTTTGGAGCCTGGTTAAAAATATGTTATGAGTCAATATATTTTATTGAGGTTTTCATTTGGTTGGGTTTTTTCTTTCTTGTTTTGTTTTGTTGAGGGGGACACAGCAACTGCCTGTCTTTTGCAGAATCCAACTATTCTTTAATTATTAGATATGTATTAAAAAAAGACTATGACAGATAATTGTTACCTAGGACAGCATATATTTTCAGAACAGAATTGTTACACTAACAAAAATACATTTTCATAAAAGGAAGTGAATTTAAAAAAAAGAATCACAGCAAGGTTCTGTCAGAAGATGCACTAACCACCTGGTACTCACTGACACTAAGTCAGCAGCCATGGGAAGTTTATCCTAAACAACTAGCTAAAAATAGCACGTGGTTGACAAATCATGGGCACTGCAACAGGGATACAATCTCTAATTACAAGAGCTTCACCTTTGCAGACAAGCAAGGAGCAGAGGAAAAAACCCTCATAAAAAAAACAAAGCAGAAAAAAGACACCTTCCACAAACACAAGTCTTGGGTTTATTCACTGTTATTTTGTCCCCATAAACTGTCATAGGAATATTGCAATTTTTGGAACTGTGCATTCAGACTCCACCTCATACAGAAAGGTAAAGCTGAACCTTTAAAGGTCTTACAGGTGCCAGCACTAATACAACTTTGAAGAAGAGTCTACTAAGGCCACTTATACTGGTGGTGCACAGGCAGGAAAAAATACAGCTCATACTTCCCACAGCTCGTTTTAGGGGATCAGTGCCATTAACAGTAAAAATTGACTTTGATGAGGAAAGGTATGTGTAAAAAAAGACAATAAAATGCAATGCACAATAAAAGTGATTAGTAGCTTAAGATCTCAGCCATAGAAGAGAGGGAAGAGACCCCAGACAACTTTACAGACGCTGATTAAGGCACATCTCGCACTCCCGTGTGAAACTTACAGTTACTGCCTGTGGTACCTGGAAGATCTGATACTGTTCACTACAAAAACAGATACTTAAACAGTCTGTGCATGCTAAAGATTCACTATTTCTCCAGAAGTTTCCACAGACTAAAAGATCTGCCTACTTCCACCATTACACTTCAGGAAGTCTGGATATAGCTATCACTGAGCAAACTTGACATTTCTTGATAACACAGTTGAAATTTGGACATAATTCAAACTTTAATGTTACACAACTCAGACTCCAGACAGCATTTCTTCCAAAGTGCCAAGCCTGAAGGAAAAAAACCCAACATTTGAAGACATGCAGATCATGTCAGACATCCACAAAGCCAAACCATCTGGGATAATTACATACTCAAGAAGTCAAACTGATGACCTGGAAAACAAGCTGCAATTAAGACACGCCAGTTCCAGTTGCATTTCTAAAGGCATAAAGGCCAGACACTCAGGTTTTTATTATTGCTTTCTTTCCACTAGAATTATGTAACACTTTATGTTTATTAATTTCTTGAGTGTCAGCATAGGTTTATATAAAAACTCAGCAATAGATAGTCCTTGGATTTCTTTGATCCTAATTCAGACTTTAAGTTGGATAGGAGATAATTATGAACTTTACACGTTACAACATCATCCATCTAATAGGAGGAGCTAAAGCCCTCATCACATTCCTACTGCTAATATCACGGGCAAGATCCAAGACTTAGCTGCCAATGGCAGAGCGGGGTGGATCCCTGTTTTTCTCTGCAGGGTCACAAGAGTACTGGAGCAGGTGCCCTGATGGTCAGAGACATCACACAGCAAGAGCAGGCAATACCTGTCGTTTCACCCCACCCCGAGAAAACGTAAACTGTGCCATGTGTTCATCGTACCACCACCTACTGCTTTATCTCCCAGTGCCCAAGGACAGAAGGATCGCAGCTTCTGCACAGCACTGTGTCAGCCAATGACAGCTGGATGGGAGCTGCTGAAAACAGCTCTAATAGGACCAAGACAGTGCCGGTGTCTCACAAGAAACCCGGAAGGACCACTTCTGGTCTTAATGTGCTAACATCCAACAGGCGGGGATTTCCCAGGGGAATTAAGGCTATGGAAATCTCCATATCACAAATGGATGAAACACTTGTTTTCAAGATCTCAGCATGCTTGCAATCTTGACTACTGGGCACCCACACCAAATCTTACAATCCAGTTTGTGACAGTTGATTGCCTAAGTTTAGTTCATGTGGCCACACATTTCATGCTGGCAGTCACCACAAGGTTTTTAGTCATGAAAGGCGTTTAGCAAAAAAGTATATCACAGAGTTCTAACTTGAAACTTTTCACCTTTATTTGGATTCAAGAAACAGAAGTAATACAGTTGGTTATCTTGACACAAGCAATCTGCACCCAGAACTGCTGCCTACTTTTTCTATACAGCCTCCTAAGGCTACACAGTATTTTCCCAGGTGCTGGAACACATTTTTGCAGCCTTAATTCAACAACAAAACAATTTAACGCCATAAAAATCCCATCTGTATCCATAAGGGACACCACAAAGGCAGATAGGAGCGTGTGACAATCCACGCCTATTCTCTATTATCCTCTCACCTAGAAAGCAGCTAAATAAAATATTTATTTATTGCAAATAAAATATTGCAATTTTACTCTGATTACGTGCATATTAACAGCAGGAATCAATACCAAAAGCCCATAAAGGTAATGAAGTTAACAGACTTAGCACTTTAACAATAGTGTCACTTTTAAAAGCACTTGTTTGAGGAACATTAGAGGTTCAAGTGAATGAAGCAACAGCTGAAACCAGCTGTAACACAATGACCTTCTCCCAAATGATTTTTCTCATAGGAGTTCCGTAAAGTCTACCTTTGCTTCCATCACAAGTGTTAGGGCAATGCTAGCAGCATTCAAAAATCATCCTGCCACCACAGGGCAACTGGGTTTCTTTGCAAACAATTTTATGCCAGTGACTGGCCAAGGTACAGAGGGCACAATGTACCAGTCATGAGGCATTTTTGAAGGGGACTCAGTGAAAGGATGAAGGGCAGAGAGGAGATTGTGGTGAGTGATGGAGGCAAAAGTTCAGTAATGCTGGTCACTGCTCAGATGCACTAATTTAAGTCATACAAAGCTCCCAGGACTTTTTCTCCTCTCTCTATACTTCCCAGCCCCAGCAAACAACTGCTCCTGTCTCTGACCCCTGGGGTGCTTATCAAGCCAGACTGAGCCAACACAGTGTATTTATGTAAGCA